TCAAAGATAATAGGAACTAAAAGGTAAGAGACAAGCATTTAGGTGATACTATTTCTCAACTTGTGTATGCAGTGCGGAGATTATTTCTTGCACATTTAATTGCTACACTGATGTTTCCACCTTCCTATCTGTGAAAAAGTCTACACGCGTCTCAATTCTTACCTTCTCCCCAAAGCCGAGCAAGCTCCATCACCTCGGACTGACAGACTTTGATCAGGGATTTTGTTTGATCTCAAAAGTTTGGAAGAAATCTCATAATTTATTTGTGCCTAATTCAAAATGGAAGGAGATGGAGTAGTAGACAGATGGTGGCTGATAACATTCATTAGTGGGAGTGACTTGGTAAGTGATTGTTATATCAGCAAAACTGTCACCAGGGGCGCGTCTCAGGACCAAGACCGATGCGTGGAGCTTATTAAGGAGCGGGCTTTGTTGGCACTGACAAGAGATGTTGTCCTTCAGATGGAGGCCCAAGGTTCAAGTCTATGTTTGCAACCAGCTGGATGTCTGGAGGAAAACACTGGGCTCAGCAGCTCAGTAGCAAGCAAGCAAAATGCAAGCCCACCCAGTTTTTTTGGGCTATGAGAATACTAAGGTGATACCTATAGTATGAAATTGACCAAAAAGTATCTTCTACTTTATTAGGAGCTACGTAGATGAGGAATACATTAAGCTTAGCAAATATCAAAATCCCAACTAAATGGATACCGCTGACACCTTACCAGAAAACAGGTCACCTTTTAACAGTGTTATCAGGAAACCACAAAGTCATGTTGACATAGTTAAATTTAAAAAGAAGTGAGTATGGGAAAAAGCTAAACGGATTATATAAAAGATTATAGGCTTGAGGCATTTTTGGGGAATTGCTAACTTAATGTCATGCTTAACAACTTTTCACTGTCATATAATTCCTTATATGACTTCATAATCATAAATTAACAACTTCACAGTGTACAAAATAACCCCTAAGAAAGATATTTTAAAAGGTGCACTGTGTAACTTCTAAGGTGGAGGGTCCCCAACCTGTTTCTCTCCATGGATGTTATTTCTCAGCTGGGAATGTTCCACAGTAGGGCATTAAACATATCTCCCATGCATTTGTTCAATTACAGGTGTTTTACAGCTCAAAAATACCTTAAAACATTCATTCTTACCATGTACAGGCTTGCTACTTCATAGATCTTTCCCCATTGTGATTACCAAGTTTATTTTTTATACTGTGGAATAATCAAGGAGAAACAGTAATATATCCATGGAGACAAGCAGGTGCCGGACCCTCCACCAGAAAACCTACACAGTGCACCTTCAAACTGCACTGCAGTCTGTCAAAAGGTGCTGTCTTGTCCTTGTATGGCTTTTTAGTCACAGACACTCATTTGGAGATGACACTGTTCACAAGTGTGGGCTTTCAACAAAGAAACTAGCCAAGCTGAAGGTGTTATTTACTTAAGTCAATGTTTTTTTAGACAAGGAAGCAATACTTTATTTGGGGTCATGAGCAAAATTACGCACATCAGCAGCCAACACTACAGAGCAGAGAGTATATGCATATTGGAACCAAATTAAATTATAAATAAATCCATAACAGATAAAAACAGATAACCAATCTTTACAAATTAAGAAAATGGTTAAAACAATAATATCACCAACTTCAAGGGTCAGGCATTAGAGTAACAGTAACAGCATTTTCTAGAGTGTACCTTGAAGCCCTCATAGCCCTCCATCTGCCCCCATATCTGCTTCACTCATCACTGCGTCCTTCTTTCTCTCCTCCTCTCTCACGTCTTGACATGTGGGCTGTAGGCTTAGACGGTACCTGGCTGGCTTACAGTGGCGCTCTCCTTTACCTCTTGCTCCAGGGAGCCACCCACAGCTCCTGGCAGACAGCATATGATCCTGTTACACAAACGCACCTACACCTATACTGTGATGAGCTCAAAGTACCATCCTGTATGTGTGTGTGAGCGTACACCCGAGTCCAGAAGGCCCTTGAAATATGCACAGCGGTCCTATGCATAATACATGGGCACAGCAGGAGGAGAGAAGTTGTGAGGCGAGTGGATCTCCTCCTCTCCATCTCTCCTCCCCTCCCATCTTCCTCTGCTCTTCACTCCATCGCACAGTCTGCCCGCTATGCATATGCTTTAACTAACAACTGTCTCTCAGTGTTATTTGTGAGGTCGCAAATTATGCCACGGCGATTGTACAAGCAGATAAGACAGATTTACAGCATGCGAGGAAATGAGGTGATATTGTGGAGTTTCAAAGGCGACATGTACTTAAAGCTCAGTGAAAGTAAAAAAATTAAATATGTGTTGACGTCAGAACAATAAGGAGTCTCAGCAGAATTACTGTGGATGCAGACAGTCCAGCGGTCACACTCACTACACACACCAGAGGCTGGAGCTGCAGTGACCAACACTTTTATAATGATACTACAAAATGCGCTACAGACAGACAGGAAAGCAACATTATATCTATGTTCTGTATTAGACAGGACTATGGAGCCCACTGCTCCTCACAGGTGCCCCAACAGCATTGAAGGATGGGTCAAATGCAGAGACAAATTTCCCTACGGTCACAATAAATTGTACCTTTCCTTGACTGAAAAAAAAAAACAAAAGACACCAAGTACAAAGATTTTGTTGTTGCTACCAGTGTAGGCTGGATTTTATTTACCTATATATTAGAGCCCGACCGATATATCGGCTGGCCGATATTATCGGCCAATATGGGCACCTGGAGACATATCGGCTATCGGCCGATATGCTTGCTGATATGGGCCGATATTTCACGTGGGCATGTTATACCTCGTTATAAAGCTTAGACTCTCTACATTATGTTCATTTAATCCAATTTACAGACAGATAAATGTCCTAATATATGGCTCCGCATCAGTATTTATCTACGGTGTAATTTGTCTGTGTCCGTACTGTCCCTGAACACACGACCAGAGTGACGTCACTTCACTCGCGTGTGTTTGTTTACACCCGCAGCCGTGTGCAACATTTGAGATTATTTTCTTTTTCGGACAATCGGTTTGAGTCTGGATTAAAAGGACATTTATTAGTGCAGAGGAGCCTGTGTGAGCGGTGAGTGTTGGAAATACATCGACTTTGAAGCTAGTTTAGGTTTTGTTAGCGATTAGCTGCTGTAGCTCCCACACATAAACAGGCTGTTTTCTATTGGTCTATTGTAAAGTGACAACATTGTCCGTATATTTGTTACTGGACCAGCATTGATATGTAAATGAGCTGTGAATAGACGTGTGAATGATCCACATTTATGCATATAATTAATTACCGCGGTGCGCACGTTTTTACGGCTAAAGGCTAATAGCGATAGTTTACTAGCTTGGAGTTATGGGTCGGTCGCGATTGAAGCGGCTCTTAGTGCCGACTCTTTGAAGCGAACAACAGGAGCCTGCTTCTTATTGGGAGCCGTGTTTTCTCTTTTTCTCACTTTTTCTCTTCATGCCGCATGTAGACCTGTAGTTTGACAGCAGCAGCGGCTGAAAACGAAACTTTCAGAAATCTGCGTGTGCATAGGATTAAAAAAAAAAAAAAAAAAAAAGTGCATATTTGGCTGCAGTTCAGCATAAAATGAATAAACCAGGACTAAACTTGGGCTTGAGTGAAGGAGAGAGATAGAAACCGAGTCCCGACACTCAGTCCTGGTTTAGTCCTGCTTTGCAACAAAACCATCTCAAGAGTCACTTGGGAGCCGAAAGAGCCAGTTGCTTTAGTGAGCCGAGCCGGTTCTCCAAAAAAAAAAAAAAAAAAAAAAAATGGAATACCCATCACTAGCAGTGACAGTAACAGTAGCTAGAATGTGATGCAAAAATGCCATTAGGCCAATCTACTGTATGTAAATATGATGTTAAGAGTCAAAATAACAATAAATGTTGCCTAAATAAACCCAATTTAGAATCCACTAGAGCCAAACCTAAGTTTTTTAATCAATTCAAGAGTTACAGTGAATTTTTACATCACTAAATATATCGGCGATTATATCGGCTATCGGCAGCTCCAACTCCCATTATATCGGTTTCATATCGGTCACAACAAAATCCATATCGGTCGGGCTCTACTATATATTGATAGGTTGAAGCCTATTATACTTTCAGTGGGTGTTAAGTAAGTCACTGGAAAATTGCCAATACAACCAACACTTAAACAGATACAGTTCCATTCAAATACAATACACCAAAGGGAATTGGACTACGGTATACAGTCTATCAACCCTCAAATTCATAACTTTAAAGGGACCACTATTTTCTGATCACTGTTATAATGTTGTCTTCTCATCAAAAGTGTTTTGTTTTATTCACACATGTGTGAATGAAACACATATATTGCATATTTAAGATGAGTTCTTCTCTCAAACAGAAAACACTCATCTCAACTTGTGACGTCATGTAGTAAAACAGGACACGGTCCACTGTGTTATTAAACTCTATACACCTTCACTAGAATCATTTGGATTCAACTCTGGAATTGCCAACCTCTACAGAACAGAAGGTAAAAGGTAGCTTTAACTTAAAAACTACTGCTTCATGAACTCACACAATGGAACAGAGCATTTTGATCTTAGGAAAAGTAGACTAATAATGTAGGATAACTCAAACATATGTGGATGAAACAAAACACAACTCCAGGTACGTTTTTGAGGAGGTAAAACCAACTAACATGGCTTAAAGCTCACAAGAGTCAGTTTCATGCAGTATAAGACATTAATGGGGTTGCTGAAGTAAAAAAAAACATACATACATCTAACTCTATAACAAAAAAAAAAAAAAACTATGATTATTTGATTATTTATTTAAATGGTAATTTTGTTTGCTGTTATTAGATTGGTGGTTGTAATGAGATGTTTTACCAGTTGCCACTGCAGGCAATAGGTGATGCATTCTAAATAAATGGTTCTATTCATTTAAAATGTCACAGAAAATCAGCTATGAAGTCATGCGATAGTTACACAGCAAAAGTTTAACAACTCACAATTAGCTGTTTGAGGCCGGAGAAGGACTGCTCCACGGAGCTGGCTGTAAGGACCTGGCGCTTCACGGCGGCCTGTTCTCCAAGTAAACGCAGCAACAGGTCTTTGACTGCATCACCCTACAGGAAAGCACAGACAGTCAAGGAGAAATGAGAAGAACACCAAATCATCTGTACAGTTATTATTTAAGTCTGATTTAGTAATGTTTTTTTTTGTTTTTTTTCCTCATGGACCATTTGAGTGTGATTCATACAAAAAAATGAAATATTTACAGCCACCACCACCAAAGGCATCAGAGGAGATGACAGGTAATGACAATTCAGTCAATGAAAAGTTAATAGCAAAGACAGCAGCAGAATTATCCAGGCATCCTATGTTATCTTGGTAATACTGATGCTAAATTTGCCCATATTGGAGGAAACAGAAAATAGAATAGTAGCATTCCCCATACTTAAAAACAATTCTGAATTGGATCTTATTTATTTGCAGCAAACTGGCTCTTAGTGAACAACATCACTAAGAGGATGGAAAATCCTCAATTCTTATTCATTTATTCAAGAAAGCATTCGCCGACATTTGAGGGGATAATGAACACAATCTGAGCAGGGAGGTGGTCACACACATAACATTCAATGGAATAAATAAGTAAATTGGTGTTTCATCAGGGTTGTTATTATGGATAAATGTTTCAGTTAAAAGAAGCAGAGGATGTTTATGAGAAAAATACATGATATGATAACCCAGGAGCAGCAATATGTGTGTGCTGAGACAAAGCAATTACACTACTGTCAGCAAGACAATTTGTAAAAGACTAACACAACAATAGAGCTTTTTTCCATCTATTATGATTATTATTTGAGTCTAAATATTGTTAAACAGTACAGAAATAAAAATATATAGTTGAAAAATAAAACAGGACCAAGTCTGAATTTAACAATATAGCACAAAATTTGTTACTAGTATTTCCTTCAACAACTGCAAATAAACATTTTCTTTGTCTTACAATTAAGAATGTTAGTAATTCACTCTTAGGTCATATGCAGAGGTGGAGAGTCACAACTGCCCAGCTGCAAACAGACTAGTAGCTGCAATTTTTCACAATTAAAGCCATTATATTTCCAAAATATGATTGTTTTTGTTATTACAAGAATAAGATGAAGTAAATATTTAAATTTGCCTTACCTGTAGGTTGTCAAACTTGAGGCCTGGCATAGTGAGTCTGCTGACCTCCACATACGCTGGGCTGAACTGTTGAGTGGCCACAGAAATCAGAACCTTCCTGGTCTCCTCCGATGGCAGCCAGGCATCATGACGCCTGTCCACTTCACTTAGACTCAGAGCTGTAGCAAACGGGTCGTCACTGCCCAAGAACACAGACTGCAGCTGGTTGAACGGTTTGGGCTGAGCTCCTGTAGTTACAGGGGGAGTCTGAGGAGCAGTTTTTGATGATTCATTTAGGGTAGGGGCAAATACGGAGGTAGGGGTCCCAAAGTCCACTGCTGCCACTGGGGTTGAAATGGATGAGGAGGTGGAGGAGAGTTGGCGTTCTGGTGTGGGGCTAGAAGGCAGCTCTGCATTAGGGTTAGAAACTGAAATAAATGAGGAGGGAGAAGTGAAGGAGTCAAAGAAGTCTGAAGCTGGATTGGTCTGTCCATTGTCAGAGAAGAACTTACTAAGACTCGGGCTGGGCTGGCATATGAGCGGGGCATGAGGTTTACTGGGGGTCACAGCCTCTTCACTCACCGCTGTGCTCATCATGCCAAAACTGGGGGACTTTATAAGGGTTGGTTGAAATCCATCAGGGACTAAGGCTTTAGGCTGGTTTCCCTGGCTGAAGATGGTGCAAACAGGGATAGGTTCCTCATGTGGGCTTGAAGCTTTGGTTTCCACAGGTTCCTGCACCTTATTTTCTTCTGATGTTTTTTCAGTGTTGTCTATAGTTAAATTACTGCTTGTGTCATCTTGCTGACTGTCGGTGTCTTTCACTGAATCCTCTGCAATGGTTTTCTCTGCATCTCTGTCCAATGAGAAAACAATCTCTTTTGCATTTTGTCCAATTTCTGCCTCTTCCTCTTTGTCCCCAGTATTTTCTGTTTTAGTTATAGGCTCCCCTTCTTCTGCATCCAGAATTGAGTCCATAGCAGCTACATCATCTTCTTCACTGTTATTTGGGGAGTCAGAAATCATCACACTTTCCATCATTTGGTCATTAAGTTTATCCAATATGCTCTCAGAAGGTGTAGCACTGCTGTCCTCTTGAGGTGAGGTAAAGTCCCCACCTAGATCAATGCTTTCCTCCTGGGGCAGTACATTTTCATCAGAGGGGGCATGGCTGGATGATGGCTCTGGGGATACTGGAGCCGCAGCTTCCTTGGGAACATCGTCCACCGTGATGTCCAAGGTAACTGGCCGCTCGGCTGGAGTCTCCCCACTGTCCATCTCCACCGCTAATGACAATTAAAAAACACGATTGGTGATTCACGTAATAAAATTAATAATAATAATAATAATAATTCTATATCGTCGTCTGCTAGTTTTCATTACCGATTTTAGACATGTACTAACGGACAAATGTCTATTGATTTCTTAACACTGTGTACCATGATAAAGCACAAGCAAAGCACTAAAGACATTTTTAAGGGTTCATATATCGGTTAGCTACGTGCTAGATTAGCCGGACATCGTATGTATCATATGTTTTCGAGCAGATGAACAGATGGAAAAATATTGCCGATAGCAATTTTGTGTAAACCAGTGGATTAAACGGGTCGCTACTTTAAAAATATAATTAGAAACCTGGAATGAGAAGATATATATTGTCATACCTTTATTGCAGACTGACAGCTAGAACTCTGGTACGCATGCGCTAAGCATCCAGAAAGCCGTTGTACGGTGTCTCAAAGCGGACAAAACTCACACCGCAAATCTTTGTGATATTCACAACAGACAATACGCATTTTTTTACGACTAGAATAAAGCTATAGTGAAAGTGCTACGCACAGTGCCCAACGCTAGACATCTGCTTGTTTTCAAAACGCGGAAGTAGAGCACTATTTTCTGAAGAAAACACAGCTGTGATATTTTGATGCTTGACGTTTTCAGTAGAAAGAAAACCTGTGCAGTAGAGGAATAAAACAACAGACAGATCATGGAGGACGACGCTCCTGTCATTTATGGGCTTGAATTTCAGGTGCGTGTTGCATAATGCTCCTAGTGTACTATCATTCATTCATTGGTAAATCCATGCTTTCCTCCTGTTATCTTGCTAAGGGCTTTATGATGTTGTCATCTTTGCACAGGCACGAGCTCTCACTGCTCAGACTGCTGAGACTGATGCCATTCGTTTTCTTGTTGGAACACAGTCCCTAAAATTTGACAACCAGGTAAAGTATATTAAACAGCATAAGGACAGTTAATGTTCTGCCAGACTCATTTTCTACTGTAGAGCTATATATATTGACTTTGTGTTTTGATTGTGTGTTTAATTCTTGGTACTTTTTATGCAGCTCAACTCCATGCATTATTCTAAAGTAAACAGTTAAGGAGCACTTCATTACCATTAAAAAAAAGCAAATTTTTATTTCTAATCTTATTTTTTTCTGTTTGGGAGAGATAATGACCAAAGACTATAGTAGTATCATAAGAAATACATACATAGATATTTTTCAACAACCACACCAAAGTCACTCTTAAACATGTAAATGGCACATTCTGATATTTGGTTGAAGCTTATTGATCACATGGGCACAATAATTCACATATAGTGCTTTATTGTTAAGAATGGAGACATTAACCTGTACATTGTAAATCGGTCCTTATGGCTGCTGCTGTCCTGCCTAATAGACTGATCAAAGGGAGATGGATGTGAATATTGTGTGTGTATTAATAGTTTCTCTGAATATGAATGTGCATTAGTGAAGACAAAACAGTGAGTGTGTGCATGCATGCCTGCACATCTTGGAGGGGTCATTACAGAGACAGATGACAGAAACAGTTGGCTCTGAATGGGGGAGAAATAATTAGCTCTGTGAAAGTGAGGGAGGGTGCACAGGGAGGAGAGAAATGTCTGCCTCAAAAACAGAAAAAAAAAATCTATTTCCTGGCAGACTTTGGTGTGAAAACGGTCTGGCACTGAATGCAGACGTGATTCGCTCCAAGTCCTGTGCAGCGACTCTTATACAGCGCTTGTTGGAAATAGTGACACTGCATCTCAGTTGATTTAATTCACTCTGACAACATATTAATATACTGCTTTAATGTAACCTGTTTCACCACACTTTCCTCTCTCAGACAGAAAGCTTTATTCCACAGATATAATAGTATAGTTTGAACACTTGTTGTCATTTCCGTTTTATTTATTTAGATTTTTGCATGAGAACACAAGTAAAATACGTAATTATTTGAAAGTAGGACATTATCAAACTCACATGAGACAGTGTCTGAATTCTTGTTGTGAAGTCTTCAGTCCCTTTTGTTTGCACAGTGGTGGAAACACCTTGAAAATCATTGAGAACAGCCCGTTTGAAGGCACACACCATTATCTCCATTGGTACAAATGGTCGCACTGAGGCTGCAAAAGGAAAAAAAAAAAAAAATGAAATGCTCTTCTTTGTGAACCATTTTAAACATTATTTTCTTAAGAAATGGTCACAGTATTTTTGTTTGCCTTTGTCTTTTTTTTTTCAAAAGAAAGCGAAAATAATATAAATATAGATTTTGCACAATACATTCATAATTTGGCATGCAACACACAGATTTGTGAGTACAAACAAAAGAAAAGATCCATCTTAATATTCCATTAGGGAAACCCCAAATACTGATGTTTCAGGTGAGTTCAGTCAATGAACCTTGCTTGGCTCGTGACACTCATTGTCTACATCTCTCTGCATGAATTTTCTGATGCTCTGTGGTGAGTTCAGGTCCTGCAAGTTTTAACGTGCAATATGAAAAATGTTTTTTCGATTGGCATTTTAGCCCTGATAGCTTCTGCGCTCTCTGTAAGCCTCCTGGCCTCTCCACCTCCCATTAAGCATAATGCAGGGTGGAAATGTCTCTCTTAACTCTCAGAGCACCTCTCAAATCCCTCAGAGACCAATAGCGGGAATGACAGATCGGAGGGCGCGTCGGCATGGCATTTAAGGCTGCTAACGAGATAAAGCGCTCGAGCTTGGCACCTCTCACCCGCTCGCTACTCCGCAGTAGCGCTTACTGTCATCTGCGCGGCTAAAGAGCTTTAGCACAGAGAAGACCCTGAAGTGGGGGCCACCAGCCAGCTTGGTTTTATCCCTCCTGTAGCCTCTCCCCTCCTGCCTCACTACTCCCACCATCACACATAATTAAAAGGCTGGGCTGGCTGCCCAAGTGGCTGAGGGCGATGAGTCACTCCCCAGGCCTGTAAGAATGAGGCATAAATCACCTGAGGGAGGGCTGGAACTTCTCGCTCCTCTCACACCTGGGTTCATTCAGGGGGACCCTATTACTAGGCCTCCCAATTACCCTGTCCCGCCGGCCTGAATTTATTTGTACCGCTCCCCCACCACCATAAAATTATAACTTTGCGTAATAATTTTTTGCTCGCTGCAGTCCAACTCAAGGTTAATAGCTGCCGAGCTGACTTTGAGGTGGCTGAAGGATGCTGCCGCTCCAATGCTCCGATCCTCTCCTCCTCTTCTCAACGCCCCCTCTTTTCATCCTCTTGTTGAGCCTGTAAAAGTAGTGCCGCCAAGGGGAGTGGAAGTGCCTGGCAGGAGTTATTGTCCAGTGCAACCCCATTAACGGTCCCCTAAGGTGCTGTAAGTGTCTCCCTTATGGGACAAACCACCATTAATTGTCAGATCAAACCTTGAGACCCTTACTGTTTTACTGCATTGTGGGCCCTGAACTGCGTTCAATCGAGGGCCCTCGTAGAATAGATTTCCATCTAATGAAAAGTAAGGAGGAGTTTCTATTAACTTCTTATGGATAGAAGTTGTTTGTAGAACTCTTTGGTTGTAAAGTTGTGTTTTCAAGTGTAGCCAAGGCCACTGCCATTACAGTTGGTCAAGGAATTGATATTATACTCATTATTAGTAAGTACTGCTCTACAGTGTAAAGTACCTTCTGTTTTCAAGGGACTTTATTTGCCATATCTATGCGAATACTGACATAAAAGAATGCCTAAAATATTTAATTATCTGTTCCTCTGTTCCATCAAGTTCATGATGCAAAAAACACAGAACACGTATAGTGAACTATTCAAATCCCATAAAGTTATCAATCAAAAATGTTATTCTTCAGTATCCATGCATGTTACAGTTACTGGACCTGTTCACATGGGTTCAGATTATTTATAGAACAGTTAGGACATCAAATATCATAGAAGTTTGTATTTTCAAAATGTATGTTATGATGGGACAAAAAAAAGGTCAGTTTTTACAATGGAAAAAAAACTTCACATAATGGTTTTCAGCCTCAAATATTATTCTTGCCGTTCTTTTGTTGCAACCTCTTAAATAATGCCCTTAATTGAGAAGTTGGACACTGTACGGCGTACAAAAATGGACATGTTAAGTACACTTAGGCACGAATAAATTACGCTCCACCAGTGTTTGCTTACCAGCCCCATCTTTGGTTTATAAAAAGTCCACAATTAAAGCCTTCTCACAGAAAGGCTCTAATGGATAACGCTCTTCATCCCCAGCCCCTTTTAGCTGGCCCATTTGTCTTAAAATGTGTGATGAGCTTTTATTGCTTTCACTACCTTTTCCTCTGACTCCCAACACTAACCATACATGGAACTATCTCAAATCCAACACAGATTCTGAACATGTTCCGAAGTCATGTAGAGTTTCCAACCACATGAAAAGAAAACTGAAATATAATAGGAGATGTTTTGTGTAGTTCCTGGTTTCCATAGATGTCCATATAGTGAATGTTTTAACCTCTTTTCTCTGTGCTTTCACTCCAGATTCACATCATTGACTTTGATGACGAGAATAACATCATTAATAAGAATGTCCTCCTGCACCAAGCTGGGGAGATATGGCACATTGGCGCCAGTCCTGCAGATAAAGCTGTGCTCACCACCTGCTATAACAAAAGTGAGTGTCCTTCTGCTCTCTTAATGCATATTGTTCCCTCATCCTCTCTGCCCCTGTGGTCTCTATACCTTTTTCTCTTTTATCTAGCCTTAGTTTTCTTAACAGCCTTAAGATGTAATTGGTCTTTAACAGCTAATCAATACTGGCCCGTCCTCTCCGGCCTGATAGTAGGAGCTGTGTTAGAAGTCATGTTCAGACGCTGATAGGATCAATACTAATGTGTAGACATGATGGATTATGGCAGCACCGCACTCACCGTCTGGACCAGGGAGCACTTGAAGGTCACATGGACTTTGGTCACTTCATTTTGACTCTGAAAGAATAAGCCATCCTTTACTGTATACTGTACAGGACTCTGAAAATAAACAATTTGATATGACAATGTGATTTTGAAATGTGGATTATTATGTTGTTTATTTAACTATACAAGTATTTCTTTTAAACCTGTACTTAAAATTAATTGCCTGAGTCGGGCTCCTGTTATTTTCAGGAACTTGTTATTGCATTGTATTCAATGTTGCCATGTTGATTGAATGTATGACATTACTAAAAACATCATCACCATTTTCACATTTGTTTGTGTTTCTGTTGCTTAAACAATGCATTGAAAATCAGGAATTCTTGAAGTTGAAAGTGAAGTAGTAAAGAAACACGTTGAGATACTAATGTCCCAGGACTAAATGCTTTATCCACAGATTCCATATGAAAAGATGCCTTTGCTGATAGCATCTTTTAAGAATAAGCCCTTTGAGCTCTCTGAGCCGTGTGCTGTGTTAGCGGTTGCGTCACTAACAGCAGACAGTGCTGTCAGATGGGACATGGCAGGGTGACGTAAAATGTGCGGCTGGCCTTTAGGGGTAGATACCATTGGGACAAGGTGTAGTCAGTGTGCCTCTCCCTCTCTCTTACCCCCCTCTTTCTCTTACCCCCTCTCTCTCTCGTCCTCTCCCCCATCTCCACCACTCTTGTCTTCTGGTCCGCTGTCAGTTGAGGTGAGCACGCATGAGTTCACACACTGACAGCCACTGTGAGCCGGGCTGAAGCAGAGACAGCCCACTACGCACTGGTGAGCTCTGTACACAGTCACACATGTACATACAACATAGCCCATAGGATAAACACACAACACTTAATGTATGTTTATATAGAGCATTTTCCATACCAGCGGTGCCCCAATATATAAATGTGTTTTGGAGATGATTGCTTATACCCACCTACTCCAAGGTTGTCTAGAACCACTCGAAGAGCCTGTGGACATGTGCTATGTTACTTTGTAATTTGACAAATGGGCCCATTGCCAATGTTTCATAGCCTAACGCCTGCCCACTCACTCAATATCTGCACAAAGAAGAATTAGTTGTTTTTTTCTTTCTCTGTTTTCTTCTTTGCTTACTGTTATTGGCCATTGCCTGAAGCTTTAAACTTTCAGTCCAATTACAGTATCAATTTTATATTTATGTTTCCTTTTTTCCAATTAGTATATTTACTATGAAATGGCTGTACTTTTTTTTTGCTTGCATGTCATTGCAGCAAGCGACAGCCGGGTAGTGTCCTGTGCAGCCCTGTGGAAGATGCCCTCAGACTGGGATGCTGGAAACCACGAGTCGCCTGATGACTCCGGCCACAACCCCCAAACCCTTGAGTTACTCTGTCACCTTGACGACAACGCCCACGGAAACACAACCTGGTAGGTGATGCTGGATAAAAAGTCTCATTGGGCATCTGGAAAATCAGACCTGTAGTATTTTAGTTGAGAAGGTATGTAATGTGTATGGATGCTTGGACTCAGAAAATCTTTAACTACTTGCATTGCCTTTACTTTTACTATTACCTGTGTTTTGTCAATTACTAGTACAGGTGGATGTCTTGTCTAAAATGCATTATTATTAAGTTAGTAACCACTCTGTTGCTGTCATATTGTTAGCTTTACTGCTCAATTTTCATTTGATGATGTCAAAGTTTTCTTGTATATATGTATGTATCATTGAGGTGCTTATTTTTAAATCATATGTTAAGTTTCCATAAACCCCTAATTCTGTCATTTGAATTATTTCACTTTTAAACATACCTCTTACTTCCATTATCTGCAGGCAGTTATAGGTAAAATGTAAGAACTCAAACACTTTCTTTTACCAAACCTCATTGCCAAAGTCTGATCTCATCAAATCTGAGAAGCTAAGCAAGGTTGGGCCTGATTAAAATTTGTGGGGTGCCAGTGGCAAAAACTTCACCCATATAGCCTGGTATCAATATGTGGTGTGTACTTGAGTGTTGGTGGTGGTCAGAGGGGCCGGTGGTGCAGAATGGCACTCTCACTTCCATTAATCTGCCCTAGGGCAGTCTTGGCTACAATAGTAGCTTACCACCGCTGAGTGTGGAGTGAATGAATAATGCATAAAATTGTAAAGCAACTTGGAGTGTCTGGAAAAGGGCTATATAAAACCAATGGATTATTACAATAAATACATTATAGATTAAGCTGCAAAAAGTGCATGAATGAATGAGCCAAGTTAGGTTTTCTATCTATTCTTGTCACTCCAATCTAGTTTGTTTTTTATAGTGTTTTGTGACTACATATTATTGACTTGATCCACATGTGCAAGTTGTAGTCACAACCCAGTCTTTTGTCTTTCAGTCTGAGCTGCTGTGTGCACAATGCTTCACCATAACTCAGCGCTTATAAGAATGAAAATCAATGGTCATTCTCCTTTTTAGTCCAGCGCTCATCGGCTGCTTCGTGATTGCTATCATTTTTAGGGGGCTCCAATCAGTTAGTGCGCTGCATACTGTAGCAGGTGTGTGTGCAAGGGGGAGATAACGAAGGAGAGAAAGCCACAGAGAGGAGAGGGGAAGATTGCATTTGTGCGTTTGTGCCTAGTTTGTCGATTCTTGTGCGTGTGTGTGTGTGAGGACCCTGTGTGTTTCTTTGGCCGTGGTAAAGGGCAGGTCAAGTCAGGCTGCCGCTGCTGGGTGAAGATTGATGGCTCTGAGCTCCACCATCTTAACATCCCCAAAGCTGCAAACTTGTCCAAGGGCACCGGCAGTGTATGTAGTATGTGCAGGGGGATTGCAACAGAGATTGTTGTCTATTGAGTTTGCTTGAGATGGATGGCTTTGGTCCGCAGTCCACCTCATCCATTTGAGGCATAGTCTGTATACAATGCAGGCATAACATTATGGCCACATTATATGTTCTGTGGTCCTACGTCCCTCATTAAAACCACTTTACTAATATGCAGTCCTTATGCCAGACTATGTGATGAACTGTGTATTTAACCAGGATTCACTTTTTCTTCAATTAAAAACACCAACCAGGAAGACCTTGGTACTGGCCAGCTGTCTCTGTGCATCATCTTTTTTAAATAATTTTTTAAATTTATATTGACCACTGAAGACAGGGGCCGTCCCTTAAGAACTGCACTTTGAGATACTCTGACCCACATCAAACCCAATGCTTAAGTTTGCCAGTTTGCTTCTAACAGTTTTTAAGCACATCCAGGCACCATGATAAAGAAATTCTGTTGGTACACCTGTCAGTGGATATAATGTTATTGCTTATTTGTTGATCTTAAAAGATGGCCTTTCTGTCATTTTACCAAAGATGGTTGGATGTTTGTGCCCACTCTAGCCTGCCTGCCTGTGTAATCTTCATGTGTATTTGCAGGTCCACATGCTTGCTGCCAGTGTCTCTCCACTTCTGCTAACAATAACACTTTCTCCTTGCACCAAATCCCCTCATTGTTTGGGTGGGCAAACATTTGAGCTCATGCCCTGTTGTGAGGCGTGCTTTGAATTGAAACGTCTTCAAAACGGGACCCCCTCGCCCTCCCTAAAACACATCTGAACAAAGCTGGGGTTGGTTTGAATACACACGCACCATCGTTGTTTTTCTTATTCTGCTTCTTCTTACACTCGGTTTCGATTGGGAGCTGTGCCAGTTGAGCGAATCGATTCCTGTGGAGCCATTTGAGCCAATCAGGGCCCTAGGAGGGAATGGTAAAGCGCAAAAAGCAACAAGGTTGATTTTCTAAAGTGGGGTGTGACAGGAGGGGGTAGGAGGTGTAGGAGTAGTATTTGTGCAAAAGTGCAGTCATGTGTGTTACTGTGTGATCATCTTGACTAAAACATTTGGAGTCTTTCATTGCTGGCCTGAATGCTCTGCCCACACTGCACGTTTTGTGTAGCTGGTGCTCTGAGCCGATATATTGGTGATCCCAGACTGTGGGTTTTTTACAATGAGGGGTCCCCAAATCTCAATCAATTGGAACCCAGAGGCGGCACTCGCACTCATGCAGACAGTGGTGTGTGCAACATGGCTGTGCTTTATTGATCTTTATGACCCCGGATCAGATTAAACATGCATTGGACTGGTATGTGGTTTTGTTTCTCCTTTTATTTGTTACGTGATATCAAAAATACATAGTTTTTAGTTGCTGGCCGAGATTTCTTTCTGTCATCAAGGTTCATATGCTCTTTCAGCCAGTCCAAAGCCTTTCTGATAAGATGGTATTTGGATGGACCAACTGTTCCTCAAGTCAGAGATAATACCTCAATTACAATAGCAATACTTAGTAGTAATTTTTAGTAAACAATGAAACCATATTTTGACAGTACAATATTAAATACTAAACTCGTGTAACACCTGTTGAATTTTTATTTATCTATACATTTATTCTTAAGCAACCGTAAAAAATATCTCAGCGTAAAATCAACCAATCAGCAGAACCCCAAACTCTAATAATAAGAACCCCAAAAGGAAAATAAATCTTTGCGACCCAGAATTCATTACAACAATACTAATGCCTCCATAACAAGATGCTATCTCTTCTTCCCCAGGCGGCACGCACACATCCCCATTCTGCCCTTGTGTCTCTTTATCCGTGTGAACATCTCATCCAGAAGGCGCCACGGCACACTCTCTGTTTGCGCTGCTTGTTGGTTTTGTATATGAGAAAGCTGGGATTAGACTCATATGGATGCAAAGCACAGCAAAGCGGGCAAGCAATCTGATGAAGGCGGAGACAATGAGAGAGAGAAATGCATGGGGCTGTCCTATCCAAAGCTGTAGATATTGTATAGGGATGTAAAGGCACTATTTTACACTGCGTTCTGTAGCCAGCTTTGTGCCAGCTCGGTGCTACTTTCAAGGACAAACCACCCCACTTGTATTCTGTAAAGGGAAAGGCGATGAGTGTACTTACTACTGTCTAGCTGCTCCCTTTAAGAGGATTTCAAGCTTTAATTGATACTATAGGGAACCATACGACATGTAAGTCCCAAAGTGTGGCATACATTATAATTGGCCCTGTGTTGTGCTGATGTATCTGTTTGGAGAAGCCTGTGAGCAGAGGAGAGAAACTGATGCTATCTGACATTCTACAGTCCCAGCTATAAGAGCCATGTTTGCTAGGAGTAGGCTTATTATTTTGTATGTTCAACTTTAGTCTGCTGAGTGTAGTTGCCATAAGATTTATAGTAAAAAAGAAATTGTATATTAGTAGATACTTGTCATCATATACAGTTCGGCATTACTAACCCACTAGCTGCATTCAAAATAGGAAGTGGGCATGGGGGCGTTTCTGGCTCCATCAGCTCTGGCTCCAGTAGGCTCTATTCACGCTTACGACACTTCCCAGGCCCAGTTTTCTTCATCTAAATGTCACTGTAGCTTTCCGTTGTTTTTGGCTAATCAACAATTACAGCCATACCTCAGTTTTCATCATTTCCCCACTGTCATGCAACTCCAAGCGCACTCGGTACATGCAATTCGAAGAGACGAGAGGCCAAATTCAAGATTATTCCAAGCAGCACATACGTATGCATGTGTCTTCATTTTACTGCTGATCGCATTTACTTCAATGGGTTTTATCACAGTCGGTTTTAATAGATCCATGTTAGGTGAGCCCATTGTTGGTAACTACACCGGAAGTTGTAATCGCATGTTTCCAAAGGTCTTCCTGGTTTGTGATGTAAACGTGAATAGAGTCTATTGACTTTACATCTGAAAAATGCCACCCCCCTCTCTGTAACTGCTGCAGTGTGCCTCATCATTTTGGTCTTAAAATGTTACCCATATTAACCCACTCTGCATGATCCTGGTGTTTTTAATTTGCTGCTTTGTTCGTAAATAAATTCCTATTCCTAATATGGAACTGGCTTTAAATTCGCTCCTACTGGAGCCAAACGCTATGGGTGCAGTCACACTCCCTTAATCCACTTTTTTATACACCCTATGTTTGTCATCAATAAAATGTTTTGTAGCTTAATGGAAAGAGTATCAGATTTTGAATTCAGATCACTATTTGTAATTGCAAAATCAAATTTGCTGAGGTTTACACAATCAGGATTCTTCAAAACATGCTTTTGCCTTTTATTTTTTTGTTATTGTTGTAATTTATCAGTTTGTCATGGGTCCAGTAAACTTCCACTGTCATTTGAGTTTTCTTCAACTCGCTTTATATAATTACTTAACCTGTCTTCATGGCCTTGTCCATATTCACTGTTGACTGGTTTTTACAAGGTGAGCCCAGGTGCAAGTGGACACAGGCTGGTGCAGTCCTCTCTTAAATGATGAATGACGGTGTTTGGAGCTGCTGTGGCTGTACATCCAAAGCCCATGACTTGGTGCTCCTCGGGAGGGCAGTAAAAGCTGTCCCTCGGCTGCAGTGAATTTACAAGCCTTATAAAGCCCTCTCATCGTCTGCCTCCCTGCTACATTCCATCACACCTCCCCTGTCTCCCTCCCTGCTCCACCTTTCCCAATAAGAGCATGCATATTTTAAAAACTTGGGTTGGATCCAATAGCAAACTTCCAGTTCTCTTTCTCATTGTCATTTCTTTTATCTCACACTAACACTCCTACCGCTATAATGTACGCTCAATCACACCCTAGCATTGTTGCTTCCAGTTGACTAATGATTCTTAGAAAATGGACCTGTGTAATTGATGAACTCTTTAAATAAATAGGTTCATTTGGGAAACCCTTAACGACAGCATCTTTGGAGCTTAAAGGTCTCATATTACAAAAAATTGACTCATGTGGGCTTTAAACGGTGTTGTTACATCCTCAAAAACATACCTGCAAAACATTGTTTCATGCACACACATTTGAGTAAACCTTTATTATTAGTTTCCTCAAAATGCTCCATTCCACCTTGTGATATTGGTAGTTTTCAAGTTTACAGCTACCTTTTAACTTTTGATGAGTGATTCTAATGAAGGTCTATGGAGTTTAAAAACACAGTGGAGCGCTTCCTGTATTACCACATGACATCACAAGGTGGAATAGTGTTTTCTGTTTGAGAGAAGAACTCAGCCTACATATGCAGGATTTGTTAAACTTGTGTGAATGAAACAAAACACAACGCCAGGCATGTTTGTGATGACAAAACCACATTATAATATAGACCAGAAAACAGGGTAACATGAGCGATAAACTCATTTTAAGTCAAAACCTTTACAAGCATTTAGCAGCTTTTCCAAGCCTGTGTTAGCTCCATGACGCAGGCTTTAAAAGTTGACAGGAATTAAAATACTTCTTCTCACTTGGATCGCTGCCTTGTTTTTATCCCATGACTCCGTTCATTAAGCCGCTAAACCAATCCCAGCTACAGAGAAGGAACAAACAAAAGTGGTCCAATCAGCGCAAGGGAGTGGAAAAGCAACTATTTAGCCCCCAGCGTCACGGCTCTGGTGCAATCCCCGATGTTCGGCCACAAAACACATACTTTAAGTAGAAGGTAGCACAGAAACTCCAAGAAGCATGTAGAGAAATCAATATTCTGCAGAGACCGGTATGCAGGGAGAAATCAAAGCAAAGTATGCAGCGAAAACTAGCACTTCTCTAACACCAGCGAGGCAGCTCCCTGTCCCACAGCTCTGTTTGAACTATAGATTGACAGAATTGGGGTGCTGGATTTGCCAAAAGTGTGATGCTATGGTGTATGGGCAATTTAGATGAATGGTCATTAAAATGTATTTATGACAACAAAATCCTAACTAACTATAAATTTATGAAAGTTGTTTTCCATTGTCCTACTGAGGTCTGGTGTGTTTGTTGAAAATGCAAATGTGTTGATTGAAGTACATCTTGCAATGATCAATATTTATATAAATGCTCTGATCCTCTATAGTTCAGGAGTAGATGCATTGAACTGTAAAGTCTGCAAATCTGAAAAAGCAGAAAAACACTGAAGAAGACTCCTCTCATATTTCCAATCAAATGTGGCTGATGTTACATTGCACAATGGGACAAAATTGTTTCTGCAAGCAGTCCAAGGAGTGAAAAACAATGTTTTTCCCCCAATATCTATGGCATTTATAGGGCTGGGCACTATTAAAAAGCACTAACAAGTTCTAAAACAATAAGGTACCTTATTGTTTTTTGATTATTATGATTATTATTATTATTATTATTAATGAATAGTATTTAATGATTATTGTAGTCTTCTAATGAATACAGAAATAGATGCTTAAAAAAGGATTGTTCTCATGCCAAAAAAAGATATTTTTCAAGTACTTTTACCTGGAAAAATGGAAAGATACCAAGCCCTAGGCCTGCACAGGATTATCATAATCATAATTTATACTGACATTACAATGTGGTTACATCCACAATCTAAATCTGATGATCATATTTTTGGATATAAGATTATTAAAATCACATGTACATTGGAAAATAATCTGAATTCTTTTTTATTATGGTCTCTCTGATTCTCCTATCAGATTTTATGGTTTGCATGTCATTAAAATAATCTTAAAGGTCCAGAAATCAGATAATAATCAGATTATGGCGTGTATGTAACAGTCATATTTGTTGAAAATGTACATTATGTACTTTTGATGCAGTTTCCTGTAGGATACTTTTTGTTACTGCACCAATAGCACTGTAGCATATTTAGTCATAAAAACACTTATTTTTCAGCCTGGACCATCTGTATGAATAAACAGGTTGGTGTATATGCCTGATTGACACATGTGTCCTAATACAATCCCCTGTTATTTTTCTATACCATATGCTTGTGCCTCTGTGTGTTTGCAGTGTGCTTTGGGAGCCCATGGGGGACGGAAAGCGTGTGATTTCATTGGCTGATAACCACGCACTGCTCTGGGACCTGCAGGAGAGCTCCACACAGGCTACAGTAAGGCTGGCACACACACGCACACGCACACACACACACACACACACACACACACACACACACACACACTATATCTCACAAAAGCTAACTCATTATTTGATAACCACCATATCGTCTTGGTGGTATCAGGTGCACACATCCTCCATCCGCAACAACACAGTCCACTATTCATCCTGATGCACAAACAAGTCTAGTAGGAAAGGCTGTATCTGTCCCTATTGAATTGGTTCTTTGGGAAACGTACAAGACACGCACAATTTGTGATCCTAACGATGATATAGGTGTGCTAGGGCCGTCTAATTAATGCTATGTACGTGAACACACTGCTGTTCTTGTGTAAATGAAAAAACATTATTCGTTATGCTTGATCACCATAACACATGATACATCTATGAGGGATGGATCATGTTTTAAAGGGGCACTATCTAACTTTTTTAGTGGAAAGTCAATCTCCTGCTTGTATGAAGATGATGTTGCTTTGCCTGAAAAATTCCACAATATGGCATTACATTTAATTTTCTTTCATTATTAAATTATAGATTAATTGCCTTGAAAAGCATTCCTGTAACTTTGCCAAGCATCACTCCCATCTCCTGATATGGAGAAGTTTAATGCTATATGGTGGAACATTCCAGGCAGAGCAATACCATTTCCATAAAAACAAGCTAGTGGTGGACACTCTACCAGAAAAGTTACATACTGCACCTTTTAATAAAGAGTCAATGTTGTATAACCAAAATCATTTACAAAACATTCTTTGAGCTCCATTTATGGTGTGTCTAGGAATCAGACCATAATGCAAACTGAAGAGGCTCTTTCCTGCAAATTCAACATCACCAACCCTCTAACTTTGCAATTAAAATGCACATTATGTATTTAAAGACTCTGGATAATGGTGTGTGTCAGGTGAGCATGCGTGAGAGGGCGAGGTAATAGACTTGTGGTTTGTGTGCCCAGGCTTTCACGGCTGTGTGTTGTTCCATTAGACGGCATGGGAGATGAAGAATATAGATGAGTCATTAGTAATTCATGTGCTCGGTGAAAGATTCGCATAGGGCAGCCGGGTCACAGGCCTAACAGATACAAGCGCGTCTGCCAGTCCATGCATGCGTGTTCATTTATAGCAGCGGCGGACCATTTGATGTGCTCAGGCGGCTAAGATTTGCATGCCTGTGTAGCCTGCCCACTCCCAGTCTGTGGCTTAATTGCCGTGTCTGCTTCTGATAACAGGAATTAAGCTTTTTAATGAATGTGGGATCAATCATTTGTCCCCATGTGTTACTGTGGGTTCTCTACGGGTTCTTTCGCTTCGTCCCACCATGAGTTGCCAATGTTGGTGCATTGGTCTCTTTAATTTGCCGATATAAGAATGAACCTGTGAGTGGAGTGACATCAGTGTGTCAGCCCTGCTACTAGCTGATCAGCTACGATACTTTCAAGCCTATATAAGACCCATAGTTAGGATAGGCTCTAACTCCCTAGAATTTTTATGTTTCAAGGATTTTATTAGCATAAAAAGTATCCATCTTTGTCAATCCAAATGTTGATACCTGAGCTTTGAGTGTCTTCCAATAGCGATAGCTACTTATCCCAATCCATGATTTTTCTTAAAACAAAGTGACTAGGGTTGTAACAATAACCGAAATATCATGATATCATATCGTCAAAGTTCTCACAATAATATCGTGGACCATCACAATACATTGAATTAGAAGTCTCTTTGCTTAAATTGAGACTTATGGTGTAGCAATAGCTAAAAAAAAGACTACAAAAAAAAAGAGCTACATAGACCATGATCCTTTGCATTTCAGTGTAGACTACAAGAAGAACTAACGGTTCTAAGCACTTTTAAGTGTTAGTTCTTTGAATTAAGTCTAGTTAAGGCATTTTAAGAGGAAAAGTAGCATATTAGCCTCCACAAAATATTGCAATAAATATCGTACCATGAGATGTGTATTGTAAAAATATTGTACAGAGGGATTTGGCTATTGTTACATCCCTAATCGTGAGGCTCCCACCATATCGTGAGCTTTCCCGCAATATTGCAATAAATATCGTTCCCTGAGGTTCATACCATGACGATATCGTATCGTAAGACTTGGATATCATTACACCCCTAAAAGTTACCATATTATCAATTTTATTCATTTTGTTCTTCTTAATAACTCACCCAGCATTGTCTAAACTATGTCCAATGCTCACAAAAGTATTTTAAAGTAATTAATTAATGTATTTTAAAACATTAATTAATGGGCTTTAATCTTAAGTAAAATTCTGACACCAAACATGATCCAGGCAATTTTGTCTAACTTGGACCTGATCTCATATTGATATCTAGATGTTTTGTGGCTGTTTTAATTGAATCTCTAATCTCTACCCTTGTTTATTTTTTTGGTCCAGTTGGATTTTAGCTGCATTACAGCTGGAGGTTTAATTTGCTGTTTGCACTGACCAAGCTAGCACCCTCTAGTGGCCAGTTTGATCACAATGTAAATCAATATGATACAGTTTATAGCCACCAAACCAACCTTATACTTGACCCGTCATAATTGGATACGTGGGACATATTTTTTGTGGATACAGTGGATTTGTTTTTGGTGTCTGTTACTGTATCCCAGCTCCTTGCGTTGTATCATTACAAGTGAGTGTGTTCGTGACCCCGACAAGAGGTCAAGAAGATCCGAGGAGGTGTGGGAGAGCTGAACCCATCCTAGGACACTGACACCGGCCAACGCAGTTATTAATACAGCACCCAGGGACAGCCACTGGGGTGAAAGTCCAGCAGGCCAGCAGAGGGGTGCCGTAATGAGAGAGGCTACAGTCAGCGCGGAGGGCCGCCCTGATTGGAACCACGGAGATTAGCGGCGATACAGATATGGAAGCGGAGTGGGCTTGATGAGGAAGAGAGGGAAGAAAGAGGAGAGAAAGCTTGGCAGCCGAGACAAATTCCTCCAGCGCTGATGAGAATGCTAATCTCCCAAGCCTCGCTCTCTACCTCCTCCTCTTCCTCCATCTCTCCTTCCTCCTTTTTTCTCTCCTCTCTTCTTTTTTCCTTGTATCTGTCAAAGGGTGATGTGTTCATCTGTGTCCAGCAGCTACAGCACGAACCGGGCCAGATTGGCATGAGTGGTCCGATGTGGGTGTGTGTGCGTTCGCATATAGAACAGGGATCATGTGCATAGGCGTACACAGCATTTGGGGGGGAGGGGGGCTCTGTGCGTGTCTTCACATGGCTCATCAATTAGAATCGCTGGTGGGATTGAGCGAGCGCGTCTCTGCCAGGCTCGCCGCACACCCACACACCCTGTCCGCCACATCTGCTTCTGCCGGAGACCACAGAAAAAGCATGAAACCACGGCGATTTGACAGATCGCGCCGCATTAGTGCCGCCTGCGTCCTAAATGAATGCGTCCCCCTGTGTTGTGTGCACTGCCTTGTTAGGGGCCCTAATTTGGTTAGTGCACTAATAAAGCTGGGAACATGGGATGCACGCAGCACAGGCAGAGATGGTGCACCAGTAGTGGAGGAGCCTAAGACCTGACATGAAAAGCAACTCTTGTGTTTGGAAAAGACTACTTACAATCTGTTGTGTTGCTGTTATTTCGTTTATTTTGTGTGTTTTTCAAATGTATGGTTGCTTGTTTTCAGCCAGGAGTCTAGGAGATCCTCTACTGGCAGTAATCATTCAATCTTTCCCTCACAAAAATCAAACTCTGCTGGTAAAAACATTGTAAAAGTTTTGTACAACTCCAAATGCGTGCTTATGGACCATGCTTGTTCATGTCTCTTGTTGACAGCCTCCTGAAGCCAGTGGAGATGGTGTGGGTGGAGGTAAAAAGTGCTTTAAAACTCAAAATCTCCAAATTTCCAATATGAAATTTTCTGAGATGCAATATACTGTATATCCCCATTGACGTCAAGTCAGATATCTTAAAAGGATTCAAATCCCCTTCCAAAGATTCCTCCTCCGCATATAAGATTTTCACGGTGAAATCTCAATGCCAACTAAAGTTTAAACTGGTTTGAGTGTTACATGAATTGGTGCAATACACTCAAGGGCCATAGGTCTGATATAATGTATTTGTGCTTGGTTTTCTAATACATTCCAGTTCTGGTGTCAAAATGTCATTTATTGTTTTTATTGTCTTGCATTCTGCATTGTCAGTAGCTACATTTATGAACAATGGGCTAATTCAAATTCAGTTATTAATTAGCCTTTACTCAGATTAATGGGTTTCAATCATGAGTGCTTGTTTTTTGGAATTTTTGTGGAATCAAAACTTATGAAGGACCCTCAGAAACTTTTTTCTTTTTGTCACCAATTCATCCAATTACTGTGAGTTGCTAACCTTACCATTAAACCTATTAGACTGATTAACGTTTTTGTCTTATATTATAAATGTTAACTTAAATACAATTTTTACTTAAACTCCCCTCGTGGGTCATTACAGTTGAAAATGAAGTTCACAAATCACGTCAGAATATCCAGCAGTCCAATGGATCAACGTATATAAGCCATTTTACGGAATGGAAGCAATTAATTAGTCTTCTGCATTTTGTTCTATTCGAGACATATAATTGCAGATATCTTGTGAATTCTTGAAGAAACTTGATGTAAATTGTGTGAGTTCACCTATATGCTACACAGAACAATTAGATATGCTTAAATTATGCATGAGTGCTATTGCTAAAAACACCAAAGATGCCATTAGATTAGAATATTGAACAGCTAGTTTAAATAAGTCCAACTAAGATATGTTTCCACTATTATCTTCAGAGCGGACTACACTGACCTGTACTTCTTGTCATAGAAAAGCATATGAAGTCTTAGTCTGGTTCCTTGTAATGATGGTCTGTTGCCAATAAACAAGGGTGAGTATTTGTAGTTTTGGGTGCTCTTCAATGTAGCTGTGAATGTCATTAAATAATAAAGTCTGAATGGTGCTTCAAGGCCACAGCGGAGACCCCGGGTGTCTTCTCATCTGATGTTTATCTGTCCCTCTCTGGCCCCTTTCTTCTCTTCTGCTCCCTTTGTTCTATGCGCTTTCATGCCTTTCTTTTTTTGCGTCTCTCTCACTCTCCTTCTCTCTCTGTCTCTCCTGCCATCCCTCTCTGCTATCTTATCTCCCCCTCTTTCTCTCTCGTTCTCCACTGTCCTCTCTCTCTTTTGCCCCCCCTTTCTCTTTCTCTCATTCCGACTCCCTTCTCACTTCTTTCCACTCTCTCACTCTTTCTCCCTTGTCCTCTTTCTCTTGCTCTCTGCACCCCCCTCTTTCCTTTCTTTCTTTCTATCTATCCCTATGTCTCTCTGCTGCCATCCCTCTCTGCTATCTTATCTCCCCTTCTTTCTCCCTCTCTCTCCTTCTTGCGCTCTCCACTCTCCTCTCTCTCCTTTGCCCCCCTTTCTCTTTCTTTCATTTTGATCTCCTTCTCCCTCCTCTCCTCTCCACTCTCTCTCACTCTTTCTCCCCTTTTCCCTTTCCTTCTCTCTCTGCACCCCCTCTTTCCTTTCTTTCTTTCCCCTCTCTCTCTCTCTCTTATCTTTCCCTCTCTCCTCTTCTCTCTCTCTCCACTGTCGTCTCTCTCCTTTGCTCTCTTTCTCTTATGTTGATCTCCTACTCCACTCTCTCTCCCTCTTTCTCTGCACCTCCCTCTTTCCTTTCTTTCTTCCTCTGCCCATGTCTCTCTCCCGCCATCCCTCTCTGCTATCTCATCTCCCTGCCTTTCTCCCCTGTTCTCTCTCTTTCTCTCACTCCTCTCTCTCTCTCTCTCTCTCTCTCTCCCACTCCCCTCTTTCTTTGCTCTCTCCATTGCCCTCTCCCTTTTTCTCTCTCCGTCTAACCTCCTCTCCTTTTCATCTCTCTCTTCCTCTCTCTCTCTGCACCCCCCTCTTTCCTTCCTTCCTTCCTTCCTTCCTTTCTTTCTCTCCCCATGTTTCTCTCTCTCGCTCTGTCCTCTCTAGCTGAAATAATGAGAGTGTAGCAGGGAGCTGTGCAGTGACGGGCCGATCGATGATCCCTGCTCCAACAGGCAGAGACGGCAGAGGCAGACACAGGCAGCGGGCGAGCAAGGGAGGGAGCGAAGGAGGGAGGGGAGAAAGATGAGGATAAAAAACCCACCGATAGTCACACAGCTAAGAAAAATAGTGCTGGGCTGGTGCGCCTTTAGATGCATCATAGTTTAAGGGAAAGATAATCATTCCCAAAGTCTGCCCATAGAATTAATTGAAACTCATTTTAAAGTAGCCTGATAAAGTGATCCGCTTTTATAATTCTGAGTCCTTGAAGTGTTGTGACTTTGATTAATTTCACCTACATTGTGGCCCCGTGAAATGTAGCTAACCCGTTTAATAAATATCCAATGACAACCCACGTCTTCTTGTTTAAAAAGTCTCAAATGTTTGCAATTTATCCCAACTGCCTTTCAGCTAAAAGTGCTCCAATGTAAGACGCGGTGACATTTTGGCAGTTTTTCTGTTGAAACATTACAATACACGTCAATTGTTTTTCAAGCTGTTATTCATTAAGTGTTAAATTCAGCCCCGAGCTGCAGTTCACAATAAATAGTGTTAAGGCTAATTTGTCCATGCTGATCCATAATAACGTATCCTGTATAGATCACGAGGAGGTCAGGGATCAGCAAGGTCACATAAGGTCATGTTATGATTATGTTATTGATTACAATGTAAGGTTAATCTAAATTCTATGTAAACTGTTAACATTTTAAGGGGGCAGCAGTTGCATAGGAAGACTTGGAAATTAGACTAAGGGAAATTACTTGGGCACAGCAGCTCACACATCACATTATATTGCAATAACAAAGAGTAAAAAAATCTAAAAAATGGTACTAACATTTCTATATAAGTCTCAAGTAAGTCTCAAGTCTTTGACCTCAAGTCTGAGTCAAGTCCCAAGTCAAAGATGGGGAAGTCAAAGTCGAGTCTCGAGCTTAGATTTTTCCAATTTATATGGATTTTAAACTAAATTGTGCTTAAAAATTCATGGTATATTTCTATGTGTACTTATATAATTTTTCCTTTTTAAATGTCTTGGCAAGATCTTTGTGTGAATCATTACGGTCGGAAGAGAATAATTCAGATTTAAAAGTGCTTAATAAGTAATTTTGTCGTGTAGTCTGCACTGAAATGGAAGGATCATGTTCTATGTCATTCCCTCTGTTTTACTGTACTGTATATTTACCTCCGCCAAGGAGGTTATGTTTTTGCCGGCGTTTGTCTGTTTGTTTGTTTGTTTGTTTGTTTGTCTGTTAGCAACATAACTCAAAAAGTTACGGACCGATTTTGATGAAATTTTCAGGATTTGTTGGAAATGTGAAAAGGAAGAACTAATTTCATTTTGGGGGTGATCCGGAAGAAATCCTGGATTCTGGATCACTTTGAAATTTTAGTTAACATTGTGGTAAATGGGGCCAAAAAATTTGTTTCTCAATATCTCAGTTAATTATTGACCAAACCCCATGAAATTTGACTCAGGGATGGACAATGGGATCCTCTTTCATATTCTAAAGGCTGATCCGGATCTGATCCAGAAGACTGATTTTATCACAATTTATATAAAAAATGGGGGTAGTCCTTGGCGGAGGTCTGCGCTCTCTGAGTGCTTTTCTAGTACTTTATATTATTTGAGGATAAATATCACAGTACTTCAGTTACATCCAAAGTAACAAACAGAGAAGTGGGAGGGACATCTTCCAGTTTGTTCCTGTAAAATTAAGCACTGCGTTTATCAACTGTAAAGAGAAATGTATTTTCTAAAAGCATGTATTTTTAGGAGAAGCATCAAGTCTTCTCAAGTCACAGGCCTCAAGTCAAGTCCCAAGTCATGACCTGCAAGTCCCCACCTCTGCTTTATAGTGTCATTTTATGTATAGTTTATGTATAGTTTTTGAGAAGATTTTCAGATTGAATCGTTGTGTTGTCCTCAATGTCAAATACAATAAAGTAAAATATTATATTCTAAATCTGGTGGCAATTATTAATGTGTTGGTGTAATTGTTTTTGACGGCTGAAGATGTTCTTTGTATATCATATCTGCCACTTCTCTGCCAGTCTGTCCCAGGGCAGCTTTGGTTCAAAATTAAGCATCCCTCCAGTTCAACTTTGGAGGCAATAAAGAATAAACCTAAACTTTGAGAAGGTTGGATTTGAAGCTCTATTTTACTATAATCTATTATCTCTTGTTGAAAGCAGTGTGCGGACAGACAAACAGCCCAGATTTCAAAATGGCTGAGCGTATAATTAAACTTTAATCAGGCCTCCGTAGATCTTGAGATGGACACAGCGATTTTTAGAAATTTTCGATTTTAATCTGACTGGCTGCAAAGTGACATGCCTCCGCGGGGAAGTATTGTGCCACTAATGCCCAAAATATTAGCGCAGTCATATTGAACAATCGGGGTCTTGAGTGCAGCCCGCGGAGAAAATGACTTCTATTAATACATGATTATGCTGATTGAATGCACTACAAGGCCGGAGCTGTCACAGATATTTGGGTAAAATTCCTGCTCCCACTCAGTGATGTTAATGAGGTGTGCGTCTGTGTGCAGGTGTCGAGCCGTGCCACACTGGAGGGCAAAGGTCAGCTCAAGTTCACCTCGGGAAAATGGAGTCCGCATCACAACTGCAGCCAGCTCGCCACCGCCAACGACACGGCCATCCGCGGCTGGGACTTGCGCAGTATGAGGTGAGGGGTCTGAGGAACACATTAGCCCAGATACAGACACTTTGTGCATGTTTGAATCATTAAGGTCAGTTTTTCACCTCTAAAAGTTATACAGGGAAGGAGTTTTATTTGACACTTTGCTTTGCTTGGGAATGGTCTTTGAAGCGAGGGCGGGGTGTTGTACGTATATCCTGTATACATAAATGGACATAGCTAAACTAATAGCTGCCACGTTCCAAATAGGAAGTGAGCATGGGGGCGCTCCATTCTGGCTCCAACTGACTTTACATTGAAAAATCGTCACCCCTCTCTCTATAAGTGCTGCAGTGAACCTCGTCATTGTGGTCTTAAAATGTTCGCATTAACTTGTTGGGATGTAACAATATCCAACTCTCTTGGTACAATATTATCACGATATGCATCTCACGGTACATTATTTATTGCGATATTTTGGAGAGGCTGATATAATTGTAGATGGGACACTTTTTTGCTTTTAAAATACCATGATATGATTTTGGTGTGAATTATTTCCGTCATAATCCCAAGAATTCAAGTAAAAAACATATATCTTCATGTTGTTTGCACTGAAATGCATCATGGGATATGTAGTTTTTGATGTTCATAAGCTGTTTCTACTATAAAAGCTTGCATTTAAGCAAAGGAACTTGTAATTCGATATATTTTGACTGCTTTTGACAAAACGATATCACGATATTTTGGTTATTGTTACATCCCTTTTAAATCGCTCTACAAAAAACGCATCTGCTCGTGTTTTTATTTCACTATTTTGTCCTTTAATAAATTCCTATTCTTCATAATCCAAATTCATTCCTATAACCGCCAGCCTGGTGAGCTTCATTTGACTGGAGCCGAACGCTATGGGTGATGTCACACCTACTTAGTCCACTTCTTTATAAAGTCTATGCTGGGTCATAAGTTGAAGAGTCCTTGCTTGATATATTCTGGTAATTGGAGAATATGCAATAATGAACAAGTTTTTTTATGACGAAAAAGATTACAGCTATATAAGATAAGTTTGATGGGAAAACTCAGAAAAAGTTTGATTGAGTAATGCTGGTGATAAGAATTTAACCATTAAAAAGACACAATTTCCAATAACAAAAGTCCCCAAAGTCTAGTGCTACTTGGGCTTGTCCATATTTGACAGGAGGCTATGACATAAGAGGACACACAATTTTCATAACTTAATGTAAAGATAGAGATGCATTATAAGTACTGTGTTTGACTTTTACATAACTCCATAAACAACTTTGTGAATGGTTCCTGTGGAGCTGCTTTGAAAAAACGCATTAGCCCAAAATACAATCCTTTTACTGGTCCTCTCTCTGCAACTTTGATACTATTACTTGTATTTCACATGGCTATTATTTAGAAGGCGGACGGTTTGCATTCCTAAATATCTTCTCCTCTTTCATCGATTTTTATTTTTGTGAAATTCAAGCGGGTGCACATTCTCCAGTTAATGAAACCACACGTGTTCTCTGATACGCTGCTGCCATCCAGAACAGTGCCAGGAAAGAGATTTTAAAGACGGTGTTGAGGATCGGGACTGAGGATTTAAAAAGAGCAACATGGGGCCTGTTTTTCGCCACGGTTTGCCTCTCAGTATTAGGTCTGAACAGCTCTTATGTCCTACCTGGAACTGACATAAAGCACCTGTGAAGGCTGATGGCTCTGACTCATGCTCACAGTCACTTCAATTCAAATGGGAAAGATTAGAAATTTGAATGTGTTTATAATATGCAATTACATGTAGATTTAGCTCGCTAGCAGTTTTCATATTCTGACACTAATACAAATGTCTGTAATGTAATGAGTTATGTCACAAGGTAGATGTAAAGAACTGTCTAAGTAGGCTCAATAATGCTTTTCATGTTGCTTTTTGATTTTTAGTGATTTATTTGTATATCTATTCTAGTCACATGTGATCAGGGTCTTCTCTTGTGGTGTTACAAGTGCTTGTAAAAACAACACGGACACGAAGGTTGCATGTTACAAAACGGCACAAGCACTGATTAAAAGAACTGAAGACTTTGAAGAGTTAAAAGCAAACAAGTAAAGCAAGTCATTTTAGATGATGTTTATGAATTAATCATGAATATATCTATTCACTGCTTGGAGTATTCAATTTCTATTTTGAGTGAGTGGTCCTCATGTTCGGGCTGGGTGATAAAAAGTTAAATTGTGATCTGATCCCTGTGTCAATCTGCTTTTCGGGTAAATTTGCAATATCATAATTCACAGATTTTCTGTTTAGTGAAAGTCTGTGCTCAAACATGGGCATTTTTCCACAACCACACATCTTATTGATCAGTCAGTGTCATGCTCGGGTTGAGCGACAACTGGATTCAGCCAATTACAATACAGTAAAGTGTGACCCATCCAAAGAAGCAGATGACTCTTTACCATACAGTATAATACAAGATAAAATCTGGCTCCAAGAAAATTAGTTCTGTTCATTTTTTTGGGCATATTGCCCACCTTTGTCTTGCTTCTGACATTTACCCAAATATAAAGAAAGATGGTCCCTGGTTTCTTGGCTGTACTCTGGCCCTAGACTATATAGTAAAGATGGGAGCACTTCTGGCTCCATTTGACTTTACATTCGAAAATTGTTGCCCCTCTCTCTGTAACTGCTGCAGGGATCCTCATTTTGGTTTTAAAATGTTTGTATTAACCCGCTCTAGATGATTCAGTTTTTTTTATTTTTTTATTTGCTATTTTGTCTGTAAATAAATTCCTATTCCTAATATTGAACAGCTCCTACAACTTGTAGCCTTGTGAGCTTCATTTGACTGGAGACGAACGCTATGGGTGACATCACACTCCCTTAGTCCACGTCTTTATACAGTCTGACAAACAAACAAGTAATTAAATACATAATGTGCAACATCGACATTGACATGGAGCAAATTTGCCCATCTTGGGTTTGTAACCTGTCATCTCAACGCTCCAAACTGTTTCAGTAAAAACAACAAATGGTAGGCATTGCTGGTGTGCTGCTTTGTTTAGCTGCTCTGAGGTAAAGCAGTCTGTGTGGGGCAGCCACAGGAGCAGAGCTAACAGTGGCTCCGAGTGGCAGAAGGAATCTCTTGTGCTCTCGTCCCGTTATGACACATTTTAGTGGCACTTGAGGTCCGTCCATGAATCTAATCAAGTGTTTGTCTGCTCGTGATGAAGTGCCCGGCCCATCGCTCCTCCTTGACACAAAGCACATGTAGAAGCAGACATTAACCTTCTGAGTGCAGGTTAGCACCCTCACCCCACCTCAGCCCCCTCACACCTCCTCACCCCTCTTTGTGTTTTTGTTTGTGTTTTGTACGTATATGTGTTTGGCGAGGTCAGAGTACGTGTGTGCGTGTGTGTGCGCTCTGCTAGAGGAATAATAATCACCCGGCTATCGATTGCTTGTGATAACGGCAAAGTGGTGGAGAGATGGAGAGGGGTGAGGGGAGAGAGAGGGAGCGAAAGAATATATTTACAAGATGTGTATCACACAAGCCCTCAGATAAGACAGTTGAATCATTGATACCACTGCCTGTCAGAGCCATAACAAATTAAAGAGTTCCTGCGAGCTCCCATTTTGGCCGTTCTTCCCCCGCTGTGCAGTTTTTTGTAAGATGCAACAGTGCTGATTTGGCCGTGGGCGCTTACAGGAAGGAGGGGGCCAGGCGTAAGGCTTGTTAGCAACACTACACAGCCTCTGCTTTTATGTAGGAAAACACCCCAGTATTATTTGAAGAGATGCTAAGAACCAGTAGAGGGAGCACTGTGCTATCATTTCTCCCTTAAAAATAAATGTGGCGATATTGGTGCGAATAAAGTAGCATCTTTTTGTTAATTCAACCTTGGCAGTCTAATTTTCAGTCAGAGCTGGAAATAGATTTAGATCAGTGTTTGTCAAACTGTAGTATGCAGTCTTTTTCTCACAAAGTCCTCTACAGGTTTAATTTAGTTTAATTTAGATATAATAGCATCCACCAATGTGTTAATCTTTATTGGGACAGTTAGGCTTCGGTTAAACTTTTGTTTTGTCCCTGTTTAGTCCTGGTTAAGTTATATTACCTCCGATTGGTCTCGGAAAGCCAATTTTGTGAAACTTGGTATAAAAAGTATGCTATGTTAGGGTAATATTTTTTTGTCAATGAAGAGAAACATCCTTCAGTAGTTCAACCTATGACATCCAATATAAAATTAGACTTGTAATGGTAATGTATGAAATAAAAAGTGAAAAACATGCATTTTTATTTTGTTTTTTTTGTTTTTTTCATGCAGATGCTTATGGAACCCTATGACGAATGTAAATACTGACCACTTACATGTTCCTTGGGTTGTGTTCTTTGCCCAGTATTCCTTTTTTATTAACACATCAACCAAACTACAATTATTTACTCACTCCCACCCACTGAGAGGTGCCATGGTTACCAGACAGACAGACATTCTGCTGCACCCCTCTCATGGCAGTGATTGCTGTATAAGGTTTAGGCTCAGACTGAAAATAGGAGATGAGAGATTTCTTTCAAATGTTGTAGAATATATGTTACGCTCTGATAGCCTTGGGGTGAGTAGATGCAGTCTCAGTTGTTTCTTGTTGTTGCAGCAGTAAATGGAATAATCCTTGGTTTTGGTGCAAGATTTCAGAAAAGGTATTAATGTGTGTGTGCGTGCGTGCGTGTTTGTAGGTGTTTATGTGTGTATCGAAGCACATTTTACAAGCCCAATTACAGCTCTAGTTGGGACATTTTGTCTTTTTTTTGTTTACACACACATCTTAAATTTTTACCAATTAACCTAATTAGTGATAAATCTGGGATGCTCATTTTTTCAAAGGTGTACCTTGAAGTGATTTTCTTTTTACGCCAGATGCCCTTCCTTTCAATCTCTCTACTTGTATTTAACTTTGGACTGGGCCTACTTTGTTAAAGACAGCTATGCATCTTTGTCTGTTCCTCTTCCCCTTAATGTATTACTGGCTAATTATTCAACTTAAACAACTTTAA